TGATTCAACAGAGGGGCTGAAGGAAAACAGAAAAGTTATACTCCAGAAGAGTCTAAAACAATTATTTTATCATGTGATAATTAATTCAGTTCATGATTCACTCCAAAGAAATTGTACCTACGTAGTTTCAAAATCCAATCTCTATTTGCTGTATCCATAAATCTCCCCCAAAACAGTCAAGTACAACCAACAGCCTAAATCAGATTTTGTTCCTGCAGCAGATTAAAAGGCTTTCCACTTTCCTATCTGACACTGTAAACTTATTAACACATTGGTTGTATTAAAAGCACACCAGGAGTGAGCAGAGGAGCATTATGAAGTGTTTTGAAAGGACAGAAGTTCTTATCACATGATGGCAGTTAAAACCTGCTTCTGCCCTAAAGCTGTACCCTTCCTGCTTTGCTCCCACAGGAAAACTCATTGCAAATTCTTTTTATGAGTAAGGTGTGTGGGGGGTTAATCTTCTATCATGGGATGAAGTTCATGTGATTCAAACCAAAAGCACAGTAGGAGTCATACACACAGAGAACAAACCCCAAAACTGCTTCACCTTAAATCCTTCAGCTCCCTTAAAGTACACACTGGACCCCATCTCACAACCATGTTTAGGGTCCTGCCCTATACTCCTTACTCTAATTGCTGCTAAGAACATGGGATTTGAGACAAAATGACAGGATCCCACATTTTCCCCTCCAAATTAGTACTGAAGAGAAATGCAAAGACAGAAAACCCAAGCGAGACAGATCTTTTCATTATCTTTTATAAGTATTTTAGAAAGAACCATGTTATTCATTTATAGAGGGAAATACCTGGGCAGAGAGAAAAGACTTAGGGAAATCATTTCCATCTCACATTTGTCTTAGAAAGTTGTTCACATTCATTTTATTGCAAGAAAGCTGGCTTGAATTATTCAAAATGAATTAAAGTTCAGAGTGTGAAAGAAGAGCGGCCGTAATGCAAGAGTCTTCCAGAAAAACCCTGGGAATAGTTCAGTCAGTTGGACTAACCAACAACTCACACAGGGCAACGACAGGAATGGGGTTTGTTTCTAAAATACCCAACCATCTTTCCATGATTTCACTGAAATTGTGGCATCTCCTGTAACGAGGCACCAGAAGTCTGTGGGTCCATTATTCTGGAGGTACCAAGGCTCTGCTGAACATCACACAAATCAGAGGGTGAATGCTTGTTTTGAAAAGATCTGGCCACTTAAAGTAACAACTGCCAGGATTTAAACACCTTCAGTTCATTCCATTTCATACAGAATTCCCACAACACAAACCATTGGATTTATAAAAAAACATTTCACTTCAGTTCTTTGCCCACGCTGTAGACCGACCGATGAAGTTCATAAGTAGGCAGATTATCAGTCTTTAAATCAGACTGATGTTAAGAGTTCTTACTTAAGAACACCCCAAAAACTTGTAGCCTTGTTATGTGATAGTTCTGGTTTTAAAGATATTAATAGTTGTCAGTTCAACTGGTGGGAATAGTTCTGGGGATAGTAATAGCTGTCAATACCTGATGGGAGTATCACAGCCGAATCCCCCTTGATTCCCACTTTTATACAAAAAAAAGAGCCAGCAACACTACTCTTTGCATAACAAGTTTACAAATTAGGAAATTCCAGGGGTGGCAGCATTACTAATAGTGTATCATCTTACAATATTGCAATATTCACCTTCATCCTCAAGCAGAACATGTAACCGGGTATTGCACAGTTCTTTCTTATCAGATGTAAAATCCTCTGCCACAAGTATTATTTTAGGATACATAATGCCACCTATCCTCAAAAGAAATGTAAATTAATAGACATACTTCACAGCTTTATTATAGTGCCACGACACTTTCCAGAAGTCCTTCCCCAGTGGCACTGTAACACTGTAAAACACCTTGTCCTGCCTCAGGAAGCCAAGACTGAAATCCTAAACTTCAGCTGAAGTTCGTGGGAATTTTGCCACTTGCCTCAAAAGCAGCAGGATTTCATCCTGCAAATGAAAAGGACTTTTGCTAATTACTGACACTTCAACAAAATACCGATTCTTCCAACCTCCTGCAGTGGGAAGAGCTGAAGCTTAAATACTGTAACAACAAACATCCACCCAATTCCTTCTTCCTGAACACGCAGCCTCAGCCTGTTCTTGGAGATATTCTGCCTCATGACAGAACAGATGGTGACAGTGCTTACTTTTCTCACTTGTCCAGCAGTAAAATTTAGCAACAAAACCATTCTCACGTAACAATTCCAAACACAAATCTGCCTGTTCTCGGAGATATTCTGCCTCATGACAGAATGGATGGTGACAGCACTTTTTTCACTTGTCCAGCAGTAAAATTTAGCAACAAAACCATTCTCACGTAACAATTCCAAACACAAATCTAAAATATCCCCCTTTCTGACTTCCCACAGAAGCTCAAGAAAGTGTCACGGAAGTACTATCCCAGCACTCACTCCCAACGCAAGCAGCAAAACGTGAACGTTAGTGGTGTTCCTCAGTCTGGCAGCAGTGCAGCACCACTGAGTCGAGAACCACGGCTGAGGAAGGGATGAGCTGGAGCAGAGCCCTCTGCCCAGGCTACACGGAGGGCACCGGGATCTGCCTGGCCGCTGCGCTGTCCTGGTCTCGGCCCAGGTCGGTGCTGGTGTGGTAGTGCATGGCCAGGTAGGACTTGGCAAAGCCGAAAGCCGGGGTCAGTGGCTGCAGGCTGTTCGGGGTGCTCACCTCCTGGGAAGGGCTGCTGTGATAGATACTGTAATAGGGCTCGATTCGGGTGTTCATGGGGGTCGAGCTGCTCTGTGCATAGTGCTGGTGCCCGACAGAAGCCTTGGGACTCAGCACGCTTTCCTTGGAGTGACTAGGACCACAGGCTTGGTCCACAAACTTTTTCTGAGGTTTTGGAGACAGCATGTACGCTGAATTGGTCTCGTGATGGGACGACTTGTTCCTGTTGACTTCCAGGCTGCCCTTGCCCATGGCCCGAAGCCTCGTCTTCTGCTTGCAGCAGAAAAAGACAAGGGCTACGTACTGCAGGCACCAGAGGACTCGTCTCCGAAGGCCGGCGCTGTTGCGGGAATATATAAAAGGATTTAATCCAGATTTGAAAAAAATGAGGGTAAATCCACACAGCTCGAACTGGTAGAGAACAAAGCCGCCGCCGCTGGACAGCGTGTCCCGCACCAGAGAGATGCTCAAGGGCAGGCAGCAAACCAAGACGGAGAGCACGATGACGACGCACGTCACCACCGCCCTGGAGTCTTTGGCCGTGGACAGGTTG